GTTAGGCATAAAATTAATCTTATGACAACTTGAGGACTTTGAATTCACATTGATATACAATTAAAGTAATATTTATATATATACACTGTCTTTTTTAATATTTGCGCCAATTTGTGTAATATAAGTCTAATTTGTATAATTTATATCTAAAACTTTTTTAATAGCTCTTGCTCACACCAAACATGTTGGACAAGCATTCGGGTGAAAATTTAATAATATTGAGTATGTTACATCTATGACATAATTTCTGGAATACCTGATAAAAATTGGCTGAATAATTTTTCGGCCAGTTCGATTAAGTTTATGAATTCAGCATGATCCGTAAAATAAAAGCTATTTTTCTATTATAATGATTATTTTACGATCTTTATATCAATAATGTCAACATTACTGCAAATGTATATCTGATATCCAACATGTTTGATGTGTTTAATTTTTACGAAAATTTAGATTAAATCTATTATAGATGACCTCTTTCATTTGGTACTTGGGTGTGATCAATCATTGGACATGACAAATAATATTTACTATATAAAACATATAGTGAAACTTATTTATGACTTCCGATGATTGGTCACGCTCCAATGCCAAATGAACCGGCCACCCCTAATAGACTTAATCCATGCTTTCCAAATTTTTCTTTTTTAATTATTCGCCAGCGAAAATGGTTTGAAAATAACCTGATCTTAAGTTGCGCATATGAGCGTTATCAAGGGAAAACCTGTTATCTGGCTTCAATTATACCGGACACAATCTATTAATTTATTAGGAATTGTGTTTAATACAAATATAATCGAAAGCCCGATAACAAGTTTATCCCTTGGTGACACACGCATATATCAATTTATCGAATATCAAGTGCCCTAGGAATTATGACAATGGCTGTAACATACTAACATTCTATAGAACAAGTCTAACATGTGATACAAAAATACTTCATGCCGAAATTAGATTTATTCGAACTTGCTAAGAAACATTCAGCTAATTTTTGTCAGGTGCTCCAGAATTTTTATTGGTTCTATATGGCCTATATGAAGCCCAGCAGGTCATGACCCGACCCAGCCCACCTATTTATAATCAGGTTTTGGCTCGGGTCGGGTTTATAAAGGGTTTTACCGGATTTATGAAATCCCGGCTATACCCGGCTCATTACGGACACTACACAAAACTTTATAACGTTTGGGCTACGATATTATTTTATCAACATTCATTAACCTCACGACACCTTTTCTTTAAAATATTTATTAGAGTTCGGTATGAAACGTAGTAAGTTACTTCTATAAAGAACTTTTAAAAGTTTTCACCATAAGAATTGTTAGTTCGTTATAAGTTAACTGTATACGGTTTTTTATCTTTTTTATTTACCGGTATTTGCTATTCATATTTAGACAAAAAATAAATGTAGCCATATAATAGAAATACAAGAAGACACGATTACAACTCCTCACACTATAAAGAATTCCTCAGGACTTTGCAACAACTTATGTCAAGAAAATATTAGATATAGTCAACTCTTTCTATACGAACTGATGATCTTGGAAGAAAAAAAGTTCATTATAGAAAAATTTCTATGTATTCTCAAGAAACTATAGCTCTTTTTATACTGAATCATTATGAAGCTAAAATTTTGTGTTCGTTATTTCTAGAGTTCACTATAGGTTTGTTATATCCAGAGTTGGATATATACTTTATAGATACTTAATAATTCAAAATTCTTTATTATATCAAGAGTTCACTATAGCAAAGTGGATGCATTTGTACACGATTCTTTCCGTTATTTTACTCTGAGTATGTTTTAGAACTCTACAATATTTTATGGTTTCACTCGAATTATTTATTCGTGTTAATTCGGTTATGAATCAGGTTCGTTTATAAAATTCTACATAACAGAAGCTTACTATAATGAACTTCTTTATAAATAGCCCTAGATGTACAAGCTGTAAAGTTTTAAATTTATATTATTGAGCTTGAGAAAGTGTTGATTTTGTATGTTCAATGATTTTGATGTCATTTGCTATTTATACGATTTAATTCAAATTTTATAGTTCATTTAAATCTGTTCGCGATTATTATTTCATAATAAGATTGTCTTTAGAATAGTGGTTTTATCTCTTAGCAAAGCTTCCCTTCCATAAAAAAAATAAATAAATAAATAAAAAAAATCTTAATATTCAAATAATAATTAGGGATGTGTTACATAAATTACAATTTTACGTTACATGTAATTTTACGCAAGTTTCAGAAAACCAAATTTCATGTAATTTTTCACACGTCATACTTAAGTACCAGATTTACAAAAAGTTTGACCAGCATTATTGCATCGTTTGATTTGAATGTACGATCCGAATTGTAACTCATAAATCACCGAAATTTGATCTCAGAAACTTAAATGCCATGTGTTCAAAATTACAATTACATGAAATTTCAATTTACCGAATCTTACGCAAAATTACACAAAATTACGTAAATTACCGTAATTTTAACATCCCTAGCTATGATTTCATTAGTAAAATTATGAGTAATTCCAGCCTAATTTTTTGATAGTCGCTCTAGTCAATCAAAATCGAGAATCTGCCGGTCCAATTTTGTTGCGGCAGCTATAGTTAATAAATAACATGTGATTGCGCCCTCGATTCATGCATTTTTGGCGCACCCCTCTATATCGATATCTCAAAATTTTATTAGGGTAACTGCTGTTGTGTTACTAACAAAAAATGTTCCTCTCGCAGTTTTACTCTAAACTTCCCAACCCCAACCCTAACCTTTATTAGTACTCTAATATTGTACTTATTGGCAATTAGAGGGGCACCAAATGCTCCATATATATATTTCCAAAAAATGATACTAAGTTCTTTATACTTTTACTTTGAAATTTCAAGATTATTTCAGTAATAAACAAAATAATTTTCTAGAATCACGTAATAATTATTATAATAATCAAATTTTTTAAACACGATAAATGTGATAAATTATATTTCTACAAAAGATACTAAATAAATATGCTACAAAATAATGGATCTACAATTTCTATCTCTGCAAATAAATATATATTTAAGAAATCGAAATCAAAAAAAAAAAAGAAATCGATGATTTCCTTTTTTTTTTCTGCTTCACATAATTTTGCATCACAATGATTATGGTAGAGATTTGCAAACACTAGCTTTTACTTTGAAATTTTCATAAATCGTACTGTGATATATTAACAATAGTTGTAATGTTACAAAGCAATTCAGGCAGGAGGTTATCAATGCCATAAACGGCACATAAGAGTAGATCACTATTGATGAAGTATAAATCGACTATTTAAACAAAGATGTAAAATAAGATATTTGAATGTTTATATCAAAATTGCATACATTCAATAATAAACAAAATTTATTGACATACCATAATAATAATAAGTGGAATATTCTTAAAAATAATTTCAAATAATACTCTAAATATAATAAATTTTTCAATATTTCGTTCAATTTTGTTATCATCATTTCCGAGGTCATGCTTCTTCAGATATTCTTTTATTTTTTTAGTATAATCACTTGCTATGTTATTCAAAAATACTAAAGATATACTATCAAATATTACAAATATGATGAATATGATATGTTCCATATCTATTTTTTTACTGTTGTTGATATATTTATTTATTATATCTTTCAATGAACTAGAAAGTTCATCTTTTTCTGTGATTTTAATATGATTCATTGTATTGTGAAATAGTTTTTTGATTTCACCAATTTCGTAAATTATTGTGTTACGATAATTTTGTATCTCTTTAGTTAGCTTTTGTTCTTTAATAGGAGGGTTTTGCTCTTTAGCAAGATTTTGTTCTTCAATAGGAAAATCTTGCTCTTCTTTATTAGTCGTTTGCCCTTCATTAGGAGTTTCTTGCCCATTAGAGATTTTTAGTTTACCTTTATCTACCGTAACAGAGTTATAAATTATATTAAGAATGTTGTAAAAATATTTTTTAATTTCTTCAATTTCTTCATGAATTCCATCAGAAATCTCCTCTTTGGTTTTATTAGAAATTTCAGTCGAAATTTCGGAAGCTATTTTAGCAGAAATTTCATCCACTTCATGTTTGTTAATTGAAGTCTTTTCATTAATAATTTCTTTAAATTTTTTAATTTCTCTAATTTTGGCTTGAAGTTTTTCTTGTATTTTGTTAAAAAATTTTTCCAGTAGTATGATGAAAAATTCTTCTAGTAATATAATGGCAACTTCGATATGTATCTCAGCAAAAATTATACTTTTTATCGCAAGAGAATTTATCTCTTTATCAAAATATATTTTCGTAGTAAATTGTAGTCCTTTAGGAAGTTCTGGTTCTTCTGTAAGTTGTGATTCTTTAGTAGTCTGTGGTTCTTTAGTAAGTTGAAGCTGTATTTCTGTAGAAATTTTTGCAGAAAGTATATTATCCACATAGAGAGCATAAGTTTGATTAAACATTTTGATAGATATTTTGATAAAGATTTTACGAAGAATTTCAGGCATCTTTTCATTAATTCTGGATTGTATTTTGTCGGAAATTTCATTGCCAAAATTGTTATATAATTTGTCATTATAAATATCCTTTATTATTTCGTCAATTATTTCGTTTTGCGAGATACCCTTAAAAACTTCGTTTTTCGGGATATCCTTATGAAAAACTTCGGTTTTCGGGATTTCCTCATAAAAAACTTCGTTTTTCGGGATATCCTTATCAAAAACTTCGTTTTTCGGGATATCCTTATTAAAAACTTCTTCAATTATTTCAACAAATTTCTTGTCTTCATTCGTATCTTTGTTTGAAGGTTGACCAGAATCCTTTTTGTTAAGAGTATCATCTATTTTCTTAAAAATTCGTTTAATTATGTCTTCAACAGATTTCGTGTCTTTTTTACTCGCATCATCATTTGAATGTTGGTCAGAATCCTTTTCATCAGAATCCTTTTCATCAGAATCCTTTTCATCAGAATCCTTTTCATCAGAATCCTTTTCATCAAAATCCTTTTCATCAGGAATTCTTATTAAGCCTTCAATCGAAAATGGTACGGAATTATTGTCTGTTTCATCTGCATTTTTGTTTTTTGCACCTTCGTTTTTTCCCCCGTTTTTTTCATTTGTGCGGCAAATAATTTTCTCGTATATTTTAACAAAAAATTTCCCCAACATTTTAAAAAATTCACATATAGTTTTAACTTTTATACCAATAATTTTCTCTTCGAACATTTTATCGATGTTTATCTTTATATCAGCACCAACTTCTTTGAGCATTTCATTGATAATATTCTTTGTGTCGTCACCAATTCCCTTGAGCTTTTCATCGATAATTGTCTTTATGCAATCACCAAAGTCCTTAAGTATTATATTTTTTTCATTGTCGATTTCCTTCCCAAGTATTTCATTAATAATAACATTTGTATCATCTTCAAAATCCTTGACTATTTTATCTAGAATTTTTTTTGCGACTTTCTTAAGCTTTTTATTTATGGTGCTAACTACTTCCCCAAGCTTTGCCTTTATTCCCACAACAACTTTTTCAAGCTTTGTCTTTATGTCACCACTAGGACACCGTATTAAATAGTGGCACACATTTTCAATAGAACTGATGCAACACCTTACCCCGATACATTTTTTTGTGACTTTGGGCATGAGATCACGAAATCCCATTAATATATCACCTTCAACTTTCTCGAGAATTTTATCTATTTCATTGATAAGTTTATTCTTTATTTTATCACCAACTTTCTTGAATATTCTATCAACAATTTTCTTCTGCCTGTCATCTTCAATTTTCTCGAGAAGTTTATCTTTTTCATATATAATTTTATACTTTATATCATCACTAAATTCTTCAACCTTTTTATTTATTTTACCGATAAGTTTCTTCTTTGCATCACCAGCAATTTCCTCAATCATTTCCTTTTCCTGCTCTTTTGTTGGTCTAGCAATAAAGATAAAAAGGATGAAAGCTATAATAAAGTTTAAGCTTATTTGAATGATCCAACAAATTGCACTTTTGATAAAAAAAAAAATAAAATTAAAAAAGAGTAAATAAAAAAATTAATTCAATAATAATTAAAACTACAAATAAAAATGAAAATACCTTGGCAAAAAAAGTTCTGGTTTGTCTTTAGTATTGATAAAAACAAAATAAGTTAAAAAAAAGAAATTGATGCCAATGATTGTATAGCTTGTGTATATATGAACTATTTCAATAATCTGCTTATTGAAACTGAAACATGGTCTGAATGAAAACATGTATATAAGCATGATCACTACAAGACCTATAATCGATACAGTAATTGAGTATGCGTTATCGGTCCAAAAATCACCTAAAATATAAAAGTTAATAATTATTTAAAGAAACAAAAATGTATTATCATTAAGCTTACTCATTGGAACAAAGCCATAACCATCATCCAAATCATTTGTAATGTCATTAGAAAAGGTTGTGACTTCCTTATTTTTGAGCATAGTGATTAGATCCGCTGCCACACCATCAGCAGTGCTTTCATTTGAATCAGGTAACGGTAAATTTACTTTAATAGAAAAAATAATTTGTTGGCCGTTATTAATATACTGAAATTTTTCATCCGTGGTTAGACGTTCACGTTGAACTGGTATTTGGTCAGCAGTTTTATTTAATAATTGTGCAAAATAATTGGAGCGACCCAAAGTAGAGAATGATGTGAATTTTTTCATGGCATCATTTGTTAAGCCGACTGTACCAACTATAGTACTACCTATAAGATTGTAGATTAAATAGTTTTTTTTTAAAAATACGTATTCATGTAGATCGATGTGAATATAAAGTAATACCTGAAGGATTAATTAAATTGTTCGTATTAACTAGATTGTTTAAAAATAATAAAAGTAAGAACTACAATATATTAAAAAAAATAAGACTAGATAATTCAGTAAATATTACTTGAAGAGAGATTCCAAATCCCATCACTAATCCCTTTTAGAGGCTCATTATAAAGACTACTCTTAACAAAATTATTATCCATTTGCACATAATAACTCTCATTAAACTCATTAAATGTACTACTAATAATTTTTATAGTAATAGTTTTCCCATCTGGACTGGTTGAACAAAAGTTCTTTGCTCTCGGTGAAACTTTTTGTCTAATGCTGTTATCAGAAGTTTTGTAAATGGTTAAATGACCATGTATCTGATCGTTAGACAAACTGACAGGAACAAAGAAAGCTATATTTAAACTTGTAGTAGTTGAATCGACAGTATAGTTAACAGGTGGGTCAACTTGGTCTATTTGAAGATTACCGTAACCGTGATCTAAATAGGTAAAAGTTATTAACATTTTAAATATATATTAAATGTTTTATAAAGACATAAGAAAAAGAGATCATATGTAATAATAAAAATACCACGATATTCTAAAACTTTAGGCAATAGGATATTAATAAAAGACCAAGAAGTTTTGTCTATATTTGTGTCGGTTGTTGGGAGTATAAAAGTATTATTATTGTTCATAATAACAGTTGCACCAAATCGATAATTTGTAGAAAAATTGTTAATAGGAACAGTTTGGTTTGACGATAATGATAATGTTGATACCAAAGGCGTCTTTAAGTTATATTCGTCATAAGCATAGATATATGTAGTACCATTGTTATCATAAGTATGTAATATGTAGCCACCGAATGGCATCGAGCTCACTGCCCAATTTACTAAAGTAGTGACATTAGGGAGGTCGGATAATACATCGATTTTTAACACTGATCCAGACGTTAAGAAATAAATTCTTATATATTCTTTTGTGATGTTATTTACTATGGAGTTATTGACAGAGAGTGTGCAAACTTGACCAAAACCAACAGACACTATGCCACAATAAATAGTATTAAAAGTTACATTGTTAGTTAATGTATAGAGAAGAATCGTTCTATCTTGAAATGTATTGTTATATGTTATGAAATTAGCGTATACTGAGCCACGTGTGAAGAATGAATTATTGACAGTTTCATTGGTGGAATTAGCATAGATTAAAGCATAGCCGCCATCAATAGTGGCCATTGGCGTGATAACAAAGCTTGTAGGGGCTCTACCCTTAATTTGTTGTAGTGGAAAACTAAAATTTTGCAGCATTGATAATTTTCCAGAATCATCACTATATAATTACAAATAAAAATTATTATTATCATAAATAGTTAAAAAAAAATTTGATAGTGTTAAGATGATTAAATTACATTGAATATTGTTGCCATTCATACGAAAAAATATTATTTTTGTTTGCAAAATTTACTCTAAGGAATCCCAATTTTTTATTTATATTTAAATGAATTGTACTTTGAAGATCCGGATTCCAATAATTATTATTTTCAACATAAGACGGACCAAAAGAAGTTTTGCTAAAAATATTGATTAAAATTAATAATATTCAAAATAAATTAAATTTACATGTTAATCACAGTCATACCTTATAACATTGCTGTTCCAATCAATAACCATTCCCCAATCTTCATAAGTTGTAGGATCAAATGAATTTGTACTATTCACATAAGTTACCAGAATGAACTGTTTTTGTAAAGCATATATTTTAATAGGAACCCAGGTGCCGATCATACAATAATTCAGAGGATCTAATTTTAAGTCGGTATTGTTGAGATTAATCTCTTTAACAGATCCATCTAATTGAATAACTCTTATACGTAATATCTGGTCTAATCCAAAAGCATTATTTATTCTCAAATAACTCCTACAATTTGCGATTAATGTTTTGTCGTATCGTGCAATATGGGCGAGAATTGTTCCATCATCATAAGTTTGAAGGTTTAATACAAAAGGCTGATGATCAAGTGATGTAGTTGTTAAATTTGTTTCGGTATAGTTAAAAGAAGTAATCTGTGATTTCGTTGATGCTATAAGAGCATAAAGAGATATTAAAAATAGACGTTGCGCTATAATGTTATAAGAAAGGTTAAATAATTTCATCATGCGTTTTATTACTTATTTAGAACTTATTAAATGTTAGAAAAATGAAAGTACAGTATCTTTATTTCATTTATGATTTATTATTCAGAGGTAATTGTATTTATTAGTACATATCATAAATGGTTGGATTTTCTTTTAATTATTTTAATTATTTTAATTATTGTAAAGTTATCAAGTAATATAAATTATACTTGGTACAGTAAAACGCATAATAGAATATAAGTACAGTATGCGATTTGTCGACCAAATTCATGTTTCAATCAAATTCGTATATTTTGATCTATCAGCGATATCTCGTGACCTAGTGATTCAAACTTGATTATTTTGATATCATTCGAATCCACTCACTGAGAGGATTCGAATGGCATCAAAATTATCAAGTTTGAATCACTAGGTCGCGAGATATCGCTGATAGATCAAAATATACGAATTTGATTGAAATCGACAAATCGTACATTAAAAATTCGCTATGCATATATTGTTATCTGCACAAAAAATAAAATGACATTTCTGTATAAAAAAAAAATTTTTTTTTATACAGCATGTTTGTGCAGAATTTTTAACACTACCCTACCCTATTTTTTTTAATCAGATTATCGGGTATAATTTGTGTAAATATTTTATTGTTTATTGTTATTGATAGAAAAAGGAGGGTAGAGGGTGTGTCGCTTATTTTTGAGTTTTATGATATTAAAGCTTTTATATTCACCTCAAAATATGGGGTCCTTAGAAATATTTAATGTATTTACAAGGCTAAAAGCCTGCGTATTTGTTTACGTACCAAATTTAGCGTTAGTACGTACATACTTAGTACTCCATATGGACTAATTGGCGTACATTGGGCCCAGGGCCACTGGTCGTCAAAAGCAAAACCAGCGAATAAAATTATCATATTACATTATAAACATAGTAATGAATACAATGATAATAGTGGTGAAGTTTAGAAATGGTTGCATACACGTTATTTGTAAATATTTATATTTGATATGTATTTTATTGCGAAAAATAAATTATATACAAATATACTGTAAAATCCAAATTAAAGTAGTTATTACGAAATAAAATTATGCATTGTAAAATTGTCATGTGCGTCTTTGGGGTGTATTGACTAATTTTCTAAAGTTCTCGAATACTGTAATAAAATTTCATCCTATAATCTATTTGGGGGGGATCGCTAGCGTGCATCTATTTACCCATCAAGATGTTCGATGAATATCCGATGATCTACCCTACTCGGCCAATTAAAATTAATCATGCATAATTTCATTTTGTAGATTGCCCTAACATTTTTACGCTTTTTTTAAAAATTTAACTGCTTGTATCTTAATGTTTACACGACCAAATTCGTTAAAAATTTTTGATTTTAATTTTACACATTTGTAAAATTAAAATAAAAAAAATTTGTCAAATTTGGTCAAGTAGATACGGAGATATATTTTAGCTAAACTTCAGAAAATTTTAGATCAAAAAAAATTACGCGATCAAGCTTTGATAAAAGATATCCTT